AAATTCAATAGTCATTTTGATGGCCGATATATATATGACTTAGGCATTCTTACACGAGATAGAGAATGTAGGCATAATAACTAGTCACATTCTACATTCTCACGGTAAATTAATACGTGACCTGCGAAAAATATATAAAGCTCTACTTATTTTACATCGAATCGGTGTTAAGGATGACATTTTGTCGTGATATTGGTAAGGCTTATCAATTCAACTATTTATCTCTTAACAAAAAATAACGTCGAAAATGTTTTAAAGCTCAAATATGTTAACTTTATTATTTTGTTTTCACTCCCTATTTCGTAAAGTCTCCCCGATAAAACCCATCCAACTACGCTTCGATGTAAAAGTAGTTAAAATTTATCACAAGAAAGCAAACACTTCGTAAATAGATCTATTACTCTACCATGAGGCACCGTTATTTGGTCATATTTCAACTCAGTTCAGAAAGTCGATTACACATCGTCAAACATAATATTTGTTTCCTCAATAACAGAATAGTCAAAGGCATAATATATTGACGCGTAGTTTTATAAATCGACGAACGAACGGACTTGAAATTACAAGTTTCATTACAAATAGTTAAATAAAAGTTGGTTTCAACAAGGTTTTAGATCATTGGAGGTAATCAGATTACTCAACTGAGTTTAACTTACATGATCGTTTTTCATCGGTGTACATGTAACCTCGATGAAACTTATTCCCTCTTCATTACGATAAAACGTAGACCATTTAGCTTCGAAGATCCAAACACCACTATTCAATCAATCAATCAAAGTAAGGATGATCTCTTAAACCAGCTGTACTAAAATATTCTAGTCTAATTAAGATAAACCTTTAGCTCAACCGTTTATAGATTTGAACTAGAACTACTAATACGATTATTCGAACAATGTTCTATAAATTTTGGCTTCAGTAATCAAGAAAACATAACTCGCCGCGTAGTAAATAGTCCGTAACCAAATACAAAAAACGTGTAGTTTGTTGCTCAGCTACATTAGTTAGTTTAGTTATTCGCGTTATTGACAAAAATCTGTTTATCAACAATTGTGCATCATACCTATATACATCTGACGAATTTCTGTATGACTCCAAAACAACAAGAAACGTATCTAAAAAGTCTGAATTTCACAGACTATCTGAAAATACTTACGCGATTCGACTTGTTTCTCTGAACCTATTCTCGATGGAAGAAGAGTTGCAAAGCTAACTGACATCAATTCCGATGCAGTTATTTTATTTTCCTCTATCCGTTTGATCTTCATAAACTGAAATATTTTTTTACAAAAATATGAAGATAAAGGCTAACCAGATGACAAAAAAAAGTTGATTTTTTTTCGTTTGAGCAATTTCGGTTTTAAAAATTTTTACCTTTATTTTTAATATACTAATTTCTTAGCGATTATAAAAATATGCGGTATTAATTTTACTAACAATAGTGGCATCAACCCATACAGTACTTTACGATCTTCACGTACACCCTAATTATGTTCACATCTAAGGTACAATGGAATTAAAGAATTAGAGAGTTTATATATTTCCTTGCTCTCACATGTCTATGACATGCGTTTTCAAGTCAATAATCAATCGCAAGGTTGTGTACTTATTTAATTATCTGACCACATAAATATTGATACAAAGGGGCACCAGACACATATGCGCCACACTAAAATGGATGTGAGTTGTCTGAATTTTAATTGCAGCACGAACAGTATTTCCAGTAATTATTGTTATTTCATTTCATTTATGTGTGGGTTATGATACTGCTCGGGTGCCCAGACTAAAGCAGGTAGTTTCTTTGGAGGATCACACCCAGAGCGTTTGACCTAAAGGTCTGATCCACAAGGCAGTGGAGCAAGGTAAGGAGATGCAGTCCCATGGTAACCGGTGACCAACAATTGGTTCATACGCCATTCGTTTCCTTAGGATTCTGGAACCCATGTGCACCATTGGTTTGGAATCAGGGTTTTCCAAATCCCCAGGGTGGATCCTTCATATCCATCAACCCGGTTAAAGCGCTGAACATTCGCTTTTGTCCTCTCGATTTCGTAAACAACGCCCCCGCCGCAAGAAGGCAGTGAGTAGGAGTTCTCTGACAGTGGCTGTATACGCGTGACCTTGAGAGAGCATTTAGTGAAGGAAAGCTGGCTCTCCCCACCCTCGACCGTACCAGGGCATTTGGGGGCGGTTGTGTATCTAATCTATAGCACTGACTTTTGTGAAAGGCTAGTAATACTAATCATTTGTCTAAACTAAAGTAAGTATCGCAGAATCTGGACTTGCAACCTAGTAGATGAAAGTCAAATGCTTTAATCAATAGGCAACCAACTCATTAAGTGAACTAATCTCATACAATGTAAATCAGTTTTTGCTTTAAATAATCACCTGAATTAAATACCAATTCGTTGGAATATATATTCACAATTTTGCGACTAAGAGCATTCAAAAATTCGAAGGATTGTCCTTTCTATTAGAGACTATTAATAATACACGTACCGGAAAAATGCCTTTTATTATACGGATAATTTCGACTACTCGTTTCACTAAGAAATCAAATATGCTGCCGCATATATATATAACATTTTTCGGAAAATATATAAAGCACATAATAATCAATCATAATAATAACAAACGATAACTAGTACATTTGAGAAACTATAAGATGATGGGTCAACTCAGCCTGTAGTACTTCTGGGGTTACTGTCGGTCCCAAGCTCAAGTAAAGAAGGGTTGGGCATGTGGTCAGTAACCTCTATCATAAAGACAACAAAATCACTAAAAACGCTAACCAGAATAAACAAATTAAACCATTCAAACTCTTCCCTAGGAGTTGAACGATTTTCATTAAGAAGAATTATGACGTCTCATAGTGAAAGCCGATATTCTTAGGAAGTTACGAGGTCCATGCTCCTTTCAGCAACCACAGTAACAATTAATATAGGTACATGCAATGTTCGGACCATGTGCAACACCAGAATGAACATTCAAATAGCTACGGAAATCAAGAGATATAACTTGGTGGTTCTTGGGATCAGTGAAACGCATTGGACCCAAGCTGAACAGAAAAGATCAACTTCGGAAGAGATGATGTTGTACTCTGGTCACGAAGAAGAAAATGCTCCGCACACTCAGGGAGTTGCTCTGACGCTGTCCAAAGAGGCAGGCAAAGCACTTGTAGGATGACTGTCTCATGGACCCACGATCATCAAAGCACCCTTCAAAGTAAAGAAGTAGGGAATCACAAAGAATGCTATGCACCCACCAATGATAGCAACTATGACAATAAAATCAGTTCTATGGGAGGCTACAATCGATCATAGAGAAGTGATCAGGAAAGGACCTGACCATCCTGATGGGAGACTTGAACAGCAAATTTGGAATGGACAACATCGAATATGAAGATATCATGGGACCACATGGACTGGGAGAGAGAGACGAGAATTGTGACCAATTTGCACATTTATGTGCATTCACACTACAGAGAACCAGACCGATTATATTTGCATCAATGAAAGATTCAGAAGGACAATGGAAGATGTGAGAACTGGGAGACGAGCTAACATAACTTCACATCACCACCTGGTTGTGGCTAAGATGAAACTGAAGCTAAAAAACACTGCATAGCTGAGGAAACAGCATTACAAATGTTCAATACAGCCTGACTTCATGATATTAAAAAATTCAACCAATTCAAGATAACTTTCAACAACAGGTTCCAAGTCTAACGAGATCTACTCACAGAAAAATAAACTATTATACAGAACGTTCGGAAAGAGATCAAAGAAGCACTATCTTCAACGTGTCAGGAAGTGCTGGATGGCAACAAGCATCATCATAAGGAATAGATCTCTATCGAAACCCTGCATAAGATTCAATAAAGGAATAACAAGAAGATAACGATTAACAACAGTCGAACAAGAATAGATAAAGTCAAGGCACACGCCGAATGCACAAAAACAAACAAGCAAGTGAAGAGGAGCATTTGAGCTGCCAAGCAGAAATACATAGAAGACCTAGCAACGACAGTGGAAAAAGCTGCAAGGGAAGGAAATATGAAACAACTATGTGACACAATAAAGAGATTAGCAGAGAAATACAGTAAACCACAAATACCGGTCGAGGATAAAGAAGGCAAGACAATCACGAAGATTCAAGAACAGAGGAACAGATGGGTAGAGAACTTTGAGGAACTCTTGAATAGACCAGCTCCATTAAATCCACCCGACATCGAAGCAACACACACAGACCTTCCTATAGATGTTACTCCACCAACGATCGAAGAAGTCAGAATGGCCGTCAGACAAATCAACGATGGGAAAGCAGTGGCACCTGACAACATACCACCTGAAGCACTGAAGTCATACACAGAAGTAACTGCAATCATACTCCACGTTCGATTTAGGAAGATTTGACACGACGAACAAGTTGCACCGACAGACTAGAAAGAAGGATATCTCATCAAGATAACAAAAGAAGATCTAAGCAAATTTGAGAACTAAAGAAGAATCACACCACTCTCAGTACCAGGAAAAGCTTTCAACAGTGTTGCTAAACTGGACGAGAGGTTAAGTAGATGCCCAGCTTCAAGATCAACAGTCCGGGATCCTTAGGGGCCTTCGTACGCAGACCAAATCGTAACACTACGGATCATTGTTGAACGATCAATTGAATGAAATTCGTCCTAATGCATCACCTGAAGCACTGAGGTACGCCTGAACAGATTGTCAACATCATCCGGAATTCGTACTACGGACTACACTGCAAAGTCGTGCATGGAGGCAAGGTAATAAATGCATTGCAAATGAAGACCAGTGTCAGACAAGGTCTGATGCAGACGTAAAGGCAAGGATTGGTAAACTAAGGGCAGCACTTCTACAGTTGAAGAACATACGGAACTCAAAAAATTATGTCAGCCAACACCAAAGTCAGAATCTCCCATACGAACGTCGAGATAGTTCTAGTGTACGGAGCTGAGACCTCGAGAACTACCACAACCGTCATCAAAAATGTACAAATATATTTAAACAATTACTTACGCAAGATACTCAATGTCGATCGGTCGGATACTATCAACAACAGCCTACTGTGGGAGAGAACAAACGAGCTTCCAGTCGAGGAGAAAATTAGGAATATTCGATGAAGGTAGATGAGACATTCATTGTGGAAATCACCAAACTACACGAGGCAAACCCCAACTTGGAATCCTGACAGGAAAGGGTAAAAAGGAAAACCAAGGAACACATAGCGTCGGGAATCGGAGGCAGACATCAAAAGAATGAATGGCAACTGGAAAGGATTTCCCAGGATAGAGTTAATTGAAGAACCCTGGTGTGCGGCCTACGTTCCTCCATGAGTGTTAACTTACTTACTTATGCCTGTTACCCCTTATGGGGGAGCATAGGCCCCTCACCAGTACTGTCCACCCAACCCCGTCCTGGACAATCCTTTCCAGCTGCTACTCATCCTTTTCGTGTCTGCTTCCAGTTCCCGACGTAGTGCATCCTTTGACCTTCCTCTTTTCCGTTTCCCTTCGGGCTAAGAGGGTTAATAGACGTAAGTAGTTAAGTACGTAGGTTATGGGTCGGTACTCGCACGTTCTGCGAAGCACACGGTTGTCAGAAAACTGTTTTACTAGTGTACTTATCCTATTACAGAGACTAACGACAAACCAATATAATTAAACTTAGTCTCTTTTGTATTGAGCGAAATAATTAGCCTTTATTTTTCGAAAAAGAATGTCAAAAATGATGTGAAAATAAATTTCGTATCCACTCTGTAGTCGGTCCGCGTAATAAAGAAACATCAGAACAAATCAAGTGGATTTTAAAGAAGCATAATGTGAGAGTTTATTTCTGCACTAATGATACTATAAGAAAGACGTTGGATAAAGTTAAGGACAGCCCACGAAAAGAGTAAAAGGAAGTTGTCTATGAAACTAAACGTCATTAGTGTAATGTAGTATATGTAAGAGAAACTTCAGGCCGCTGAATGAGTTTGAACAATGTTTGAAACATATTTCTTAGTCCGCGATAGATAAGGAAGCTCAAGAAAGTTTCTGAAATAACTGTCCACCCTCTCGACAGATGTTGATTAACGCTGAATTATCCAGCCAAATATGGTGATTTAAATTTATTGTCAATCAATTTTGGTGTTCAGCATGACGACTAATCATATGACTTTTGATTCTACAGACATTTTGACGATTTAAATTTTCATATGTACCGTTAACTTGATGATGAATAAAACAGTTATGATTTCCTTTGTTACAGACAAAGGCTCCACCTGATCATTAAATTTTAATTAACGATAACATGCAAGTACACACATATTCATTTTTCATATTATGAACACTTTCCAAATCTTAAGACTCTCATTGTTATTACTCTATAAAAAATCAACATTTGTAAACGATTGAATAAGTGTTTGATGTAAATCTGTTTTTAAACCTTAAATATTCTTCAATAATTTTGATTTTTATTATTACTCTGAAGAAATACAGACAAACTCACTGGGCGAAAAGTTGAAACTATTTAAGTTTTAATCGGTTAGGTTATTTCAAATACAGTTTGTGCATATAATGTCTTCTATATAGCAGAAGTCAAATTTCTGTCAAACTATTCGTCTATAGTTCTATCAATATTTGTACAAAAGGTTTTAGTCCTTAGTAGTAAAACCACATATCACAACAATCTAGACTTCCTTGAATGTGTGTTGAAAAATGAGGTGTATGGATAAAGAATTCATCATTTTTTAGCATCGTTAGTTGACCCCGTTCGATGACGATGATGAAATGTAGTTCTGTAATGAACTTTGTATATAAGCTTTAACTAAATCACGTTAGCGATAACAGTAAAACAAGTCGAATACGAATGTATTTGGGATGCGTACATTTTGTGCAGATAGACAGAGAGCGGCGAAGCATTGCCAGTCGAATCACTAAAATCAGTTTGTGTCTCAGCCAATATAATTCAAAAAGACAAAGAGTAATATAAATGAGCGAACATAAACAAAAACACGTAGGAAACGTACATGGATAGAAGGTCCGAGTTAGTTATATGGGAATGTATATAATATAACCTAAAATAATTACACACGTAAAAGTTGAATAAGCTCACACAACGTTTTGTGTCAGTCTGTAATCTCAACTCAATATATGACATTAAATCCGATTAATTGGTTTTTATGCTTCGAGTGTACATAGGGTTACTACAGAGGATATGACCGAATAAGAAAGTATTTTTAAGGAATTGGAACGATTAGATAATCTACCATCACTCTCTAAAATGATCAAAAAACTTCAAATAGCATGACTGTCAAAATGAAGACTCGACTTAGTGAGCATGTAGACATTTTAGAAGTTCTCAACTTATTTACACACAATTATGGCCTGAACAAAAATTTAAAGATTATTTCTTACTTTATCTCGATAAGGAACAACTAGTATACCACCGACTTTGAGCAATCGTAGTATGGATTGTAAGTGAAGACGGCTAGTAACGGCAGCTCCCACATATATTCGATCATATACTGGCCAGCGTGGTATGTTTGTATCTGAGGAAGTTAAACAAAGAGGACAATAGTAAAGCTGAACATAGACGAAAATGTACAGATCTTTTTTAATTTTAAATGGGCTTACCAAATATGTTATGGAGTGATGACTAAGTGATTAGTGCATTTAATGTTTAGCCACTAGACTATGCTTTAAAACTGGCTCTACCTAATTTATTTGAACAACCAGATAGTGCTATTAGCTTTTTTACATAGTGTAGCTGAAAGCTGATTACATGACCATGTACTTGCTTGTATAAAAAATTTTAATAAAATAATGATCGGCCGGGAGTGACTATAAACACCTACCTGTTTGATCAGATAATGGATGACTATTATCTGGGTGTATCCAAGGTGGCGATCCAACAATAAACTCTTCTTCCCACTTGATAGGATCAGATTCGCTTTCGTTGTCATTATTATTATTATCATCCGGATCATCATTTTGATAGGTATTTTCGCTTACCACATGATCATTCCCCTCTACTTCCATTGTAGCGTCCGATGAATGATTTTGGCTTCCTTCTGAAGTCCATATACCTTCAGGAGTAATAACACTGTTATCTAAATGAGTATCTAGATTATTTTGAATCATTTCAGAAGGTTGTGGGAAGTTATTCAGTCTTTCAACCATACTCGGCTGTTGGACTGAGGGAACGACTAAATCTAAAATATTCCCATGTAGGAATACCGGAGGACAAAAAGATCGTTCAAAAGGTGCATCACATTCAGATAAAAATGTCACCAAGTGTTCACGTGAAAAATTAACGTTGAAATCATTCACTTCAATACCATGATTAACGCCATTGTATCCTACAAAAAAGTGTAATTTTTCATTTAAAATCTGATTTGGATACAAAACAAAAATTTGTGAACTAAGACATAACTAACATAATACAAGATAAGCCAATAATAAAAATGATAACAATAAGCATTTTAACTAATTAAATAGATCAAATCAGAAATTTTTTAAACTGGAATCCAACAAAGTATAGGTATCATTACCAAGGTTTGACTTGATAATTTCAAATAAATTAAGCATCGGGTAGATTGTTATAATATTATTCACATTTCACACTATTATCGTACATACAAATTAAGCCCTATTCTTTCTGAGAATAATCTATCCTTTCTCACCACAAATGTCACATTTTTCATCCCTAACTGTGTACACATACACGTCGCTTATGAATCAACTTGACCGGGATGACATGACATTGACTGGAACAGACCTGTTTTTTGATTGATCGCACCTAATATTCTTGATTTGGTTATTTGTTCTCTGAAGAAGTGACTTACACTGAGTTATGAGACGTCAAAAATCTAATTTTTTTACTCATTGGGATATTACACAAATACATTATTTTTATTTGTCGAATAAAAATAGTTCCACGCAAAAACGGCAAAGTAAGGTAATCATTTTGGTTTTTACAAGTCAATGATACAACGTAAAGGGAATAATGTAAAATTAAAAATATAGTTGATGAGAACAATATAACCACAGACGACAAGTTCGACATAGTTTTCGATCACCAATTCTAGAAGACATTTATGTTTTTAATGAACTGATAAGATTAACTTTGTCTACATTAGACAACCCGATATTTTAAAATAAAGTTGCTGCGTTATTGTTGAATAACTCGATATTTATATTTGATATTTAAGGTTATAAAATCTAACATGACACAGCATTAAAAATAGGCTGTACTACACAAAGTCTGAATAGTATGGTGAGGAAAAAGTATATATGAAACGAAAAAATAAACAAAATATTTAACAAAAACAGTATATGACGGAAGAGGGTTCAAATACAATACAAACGAGACAGTTCATAACCTTTCCAGTTAAGGAACTTCGTTATAAATGTATGAGGTATGTCAGGGAAAATTACGACCCGACTGCCATTGGTTCCTCTTCCGAGTCTTGTATGATAATGTTTCAAGTCAGTCAGTTGTGTCATCTGCCGGACCATCATTAGGGGTTACTTTGATGCTTTCTACATGTGACCAATATATTTTAATAACTTCTTCGTTAGTGAAGCCTTAAATGGATGAAAATGGAGCCTATGTACGCACTGTTTTTCAAATGAATTTATCTTACCACCCATTAAATACGGAAGATTCTGAAAAACGTAAACTTTTTCAGTGATAAAACCTAGATAGATATCCATGTCAGCTAAATAAGTGGATGGGTACACTTGAAGAGGAAACCAGGTAGACAGTTTGCAGAACAAAAGAGGTTGGTATTTATCAAAATATCATTAAACAAGAGGTTATTTTCATGTCCCAAATCATTCATGTGAGCAATATTCCACGATATTGGTTTGTTTATTGAGGTTAAATTTAAAGAATTGTTTTATTGGTGATCAATATCCCCATTTACACATATGTGGCCCTCTAAGGAAACCATCCGGGTAGTATCATAGCCCTCACACATCGAGTGAGATTTGTGTGACGCATATGTATTTGGTGCCTCCTTGTACTAATATCTACGTGTTAAAATAAATAAATAAAGGTATTGTGCTATTACCTTGACGTGATGGTCGGGCTTGCCTATCGTAATGAACCAATCGAGTTCTACTTGCTGGAACAATCGTTCCTAGAGGTCCTACCATGCCAGACAGGTCGGTTGAAGAGCGGCAAACCCAAGGTCCGAGGGCAAAGTCGTACTGCTGACTGTACAGAGGTGTGACGGCAGTAAGGTGTTTCCTTCAGACAGACAGCATAACAGTGATGCTGCCTTCCCACAAGAAAGAGTGGGGTTAGAAAAGGTCGACTCTAAAAATGCACACCTCGCCTTATCCCGCGGATATCCGTCTTCGGTTGTAAGGTCCGAACAAGTACGGAACTAACACGATAAAGGTCATATGTGACCGACCTCAAGCAGTTGTCCCTTGCGCACTGCAGTCACGCTCTCAGGTCACTAAGACTACCCCTAACCCGATTTCTACTTCATGTACCTCCAGAAGAACCCTCCAACAGTGTGAGCAGCCGGGAAGTGATAACCGCCCTCATACTTCTAACAGCACTCAAGACTGACCAGTAGTCAACACACTATATAAAAAAGAAGTTAGTAGAGCATGAATAATGGCATCATGCTGTACATTCATAACAAGCAAGAGCTTTTGGCTAGTGACTAAGATCCAGTAAAATTTTATAAGGATAACGAACAGGCACATATCAAGATTAAACAGTCTGATAAAACATATAAACACTTTGAATCTCAAATTCAGATTTCGTGTAGAGTAAAAATAATGGTGATGACACCTAGACGCATAGTAAACTGTTAGTTCTATTCAACCTGCCTGAATACCTATATACGTTAATTTCTATAAACTCATTTATAGGTTGAAAAAGCTCAATTTTTTATCTTAACAAACCTACCTAGTAACAAGCCAATGACTGTACTAAGGTATCCTGTTCCACTACCGACATTTAAAAAGCAATTTCCTGGTTGGATATCGAGGTTTTTGAGAGCTACAATGTAGATGCTGGGTGCTGAAAGATGGAGAGAACCAGACCTCCACGCCATATCCATGTATGCTCGTGGGCTTTTTTCGCTGAAGTAACCCCCTCTGTCGACTAGACGTAGAGCACGCTCAGTCTCTGGGTTTAATGTGAGACCGTTTTGCACCAGTTCGTCAATGAGTGATTGGTTATCTCGACCACGACTAACATGCCCACCCATCTTTAGTGATAATAATAAACATCGGCAATACTTCAGTCCCAAAAGGTAATCTTTCTTCTGGTTAGTTAAAAGTCTGGAAAAACAATAGGACATATTAGCTGTTTCAATGGAATGTTAAATGCTGGCGAGAATGTCACAACGAAATCGAAGTACAATTTCAACTAATCGCTGTATAGATGCACAACTACGAAAGCTATTCTTATTTATTAGTTGTTCATTACATTTCCGCCCCAGTAAACAATACGCATTTGAAAATACGGCTAAAACGCACTCTTTTATCAACAGATCTTAAATTGCTCTACTTCCTGTGAATCACTGTACAGTGCTGTGTATCCGAAGGCCCAAGTTTCATATATTTATTTATCAGGTAGTTAACTATTTCAATTCACCTAACAGATAATGCAAATATTTCTCCAAGCCATTACTAGTTCATAGAAAATTGGTCACTTATTTCCACCTACAGTGTTCAATTTTACATCTTTAGTAGGATAAAAACCTTATTTTCCGGTCTTGCAGATAATCTGTGAGCCTTTTTTTAATAACAGTCTCTCAAGTAACACTTTCGTAAGCTAGTTAGTGAAATTTTCAAAATTCACATGGCTTATGCACAGTCACCCTTAATATCACTAGGTATTGTTAAATTGCACTGATTTTGCTGATCTGCTTATATTAGAAGTAAGGTTTAGCAGATTCAAGTCCTATCTTCTAATATGCCTTAAGTAGAAGCCCAGTATTCAATCACCCTATGTTCATATTCAACCAAAATTACTAACTGCGGGGCTTGAAATGAAGCCTCAAATCGACGGTGTTTGGCCCAATGTACACCATTAGCTGAACTAGTAGATAAGCAGAGATTTTAAAAAAGCAGTAGTGTTATAATGCTAGGAGTGAATCCACAATACATTACATTGTAAAACGGCTGTACACCACAACTACAAGGACATATCGATGAAGTGACAAGATAAAAACAGTACCGCTTGATTGTTTTCAGTTGGATACCGATTACTATTAATGATGGCTTAAAAGGGTGTTTTAGATCTGAATACCTAACATGCATTATCTAATCAATTGGATAAAATTAGATGAAACGATGTAAGTAAACTTCATTTCGATACCAACCAATTAGTCCACTACAGGTGCGCTGCACAGAAACACATCATCTTAACTTAGACAAATAAGAACTTCAATCGTAGTATTCAATAAACGATGCAGTACAGATGTCCCTTCTAAGTTATTTTTGACACTAAACCCAACATCCTGGAATATATAAGTGCATCAACTGCGTGAAAACGCCAGCAAGGTAACAGACTCTGGATCTAGTAGAACAAGAAACATAACTGTTTATGTACCTTATTTCTAATCATATCCACACAAAACATGAACCTAATTGTACAATATTTGGTCAGCAGCCCCGATCTCCCAATTTTGTGGAAACTTTGGGGAAATGGCACCAAAACCCCAAAAGTTTCCTTTAACCCTAGTGAGGGTCATTTGACTTTGTGGGTTTCCCCAAAATACCCCTTTATTTCCCCAAACTTGGGAGGTTGGTGCAGGTATAAAGGACCTGTATAAGGATGAACAATACGTAGCAACGAGAACATGAAGCTAAATATAAACGTAAACTCACATATACTTGCACTGACAAACAAAATAAATATTCTAGTATTAAGGTCCTAAAATTACGACTGTTGATTTGCGCGCAAGGTCACGGTGAAAAAAAAACCAACAGTTTTTAGTTTCAGTCTACAGTAGTGAGGATAGGATGTCAACTGGTTCATACTATTGCTTGTAATTTGTATTACTGTGAGATATACGCTCCTTTTGATTATATCAACGAAAGGGACTGCGACAGTGATTTAGTACTGGTTGTAACAATTTTTGCTTTTGTGTACTTTTTGCATCAAAAAACATTCTTGGTGTAGTTTACTTTGAAGAACTTCGGTCAAGGTTTGAAATTTCGCTCAACTTCGTATTATGGTACTTTCTATCTCACTGACCTGGACACGTGTGATCATAATGTGTTTAAACCTCAATCTGATTACAATGGTTGGTGGTACTTATTAATGTGAACAGCAAAAGTATATATTCCTTATGGAGGGAGAAACGCAATTTTATGAGTGTAAAAGGTGGTTCCATAAGGTGTGTACTCGTTTAAGTCCCACCACATACATAGGATGCTCGAAGCTTAACATCGGCTTTGTATAATTTTTTTGTACTAATAGGACGCTACTGATTCAGGAGGCTATCAGCTTCTTAGCTTTGTCCTGTAAGAAGAAAGATAGTGGTTATGCTGTTAGCACGAGTGCTGACAGTGAAGAATGTGTCAGTATGGCACGTGCTGTTACGGGACGCATTAAACACCCGATTGTGATTGGCGGAAATGTAAAATCTCAGTTGAAACTAACGAGAAGTGAAGCGCCACTTGATATTGACATGGGTAGCACGCTTCTTCAGTAAAAATTGAAGACCCTGATAAAGTCATCATCGTTCCTAATAGTTCCGGTATGACCGTCCTCCGTAGTGAAAAATGGACGACAGCATGCAGACAAAGAAGTAAAATTTTGAAAATCCATAAGCAGCACCCACTTGGTTGGCATGTCGTTGATGAAATCCAGCTCTGAGTCACAGAATACAACAAAAAAAAGTTTGATAGTAAGACGGAACTCCATCCTGTCGTGGTTGAGAAATATTTAATGTCATCAAACATTATTGTGGGTGATTTGCTCGGGTCAGACAATCCTGATTCCGAAATTGGACATGCGCATGATTTTGAAAAACTCGAAGAATTTATCTCTAGCATCTTACCAGATAAATCCAAAGGAGTCCAGTTCAAGAAATCGATAAGAATGGGTAAGTGAACCGACGACAATGTTGAACCCTGACCATATAGACTTCTTAGGGTCGGAGAGGCAACCTGATCTAGTAACGACACCGCCGACACTCGAGTAAGACCTGAAATTTTCCTAGAAGATAAAATAAAAAGTAAGTAGGCGCTAGGTGAACTAAAATCCCGTCGACAAAATTGTGAAGAAAATGTTCATTTAATGGTCTTTCAAACATTCAGGTCTTGGAAGTGAATGCTGCAAGGGCCTATGTGGATGTGCCGTTCTCCTAGGAGTCTTATATGCTCGTAGCCTAAGAAATAACTCCGCCTGGAGTCACTCCTGGGGCCACTGCCGGTTCCATGCCCGGATAAAGGAGGAGTGTTGAGCATGGGATTAGCGACCTCATCCCGTAGAAAACTAACTCGCTTAAAAAACGCTAACCAGAAAAAATTATTCTAACCATTTAACATCTGCCTTGGGAGTCAGAAGGTCTTCATTTAAAAGAAGTATAACGCCTCGTGATGAAAGTCTGGTTACTTTGGAATTCACGAGGCCGATGCTCCTTCCGAAAACCAGAGCAACCATATATTTAGGTACATGGAATACTCGTACAATGTGGGAGACCGGAAGAGTCTTCCAAATTGCTGCAGAAATGAGAAGATACAATCTAGAGGTGCTTGGGATCAGCGAAGCACATTGGACGTAAATTCGACAACGACGACTAGCTTCTGGGGAGCTTCTGCTATATACCGGCCATGAAGAAGAAGATGCTCCACATACACAAGGAGTCGCATTGACACTGTCCAAACAAGCACAAAATGCACTTATAGGATGGGAATCTCATGAACCAAGGATCATCAAAGGCTCCTTCAAAACAAAGGAAGAGGGGATTACAATGAACGTCATCCAATGCTATGCGTCTATCAAGGACCACGATGAAGACGTTAAAGATCAATTCTACAATAGGCTGCAGTCAATCGTCGAGAAGTGCCCAACAAAGGACCTGAACATTCTGATGGGAGATTTCAATGCCAAGGTTGAAATGGACAACACTGGATATGAAGACATCATGGGACGACATTGACTGGGAGAAAGAAACGAAAATGGTGAGAGATTTGCAAACCTATATGCTTTTGTAGCGAGGCGTCGAAACGAGATGGACTATGAACACCGCTATTAAGAATTTCGTTCCAAATGACTCCATAAAATCCCCGAGAAGTCATATATCAAAAGGCAATTAATGGGCCAAGTCGATGTTTATTTGCTGGAGATCTCGTGGCATCGAAAGGATACCGAGATCGTGCCAGGATACAAGCTTGGTTACAGAACGTAACCGAATTCGCGCGAAGTTACAATCGAAGTGTGTGAATAAGAATGGAAGCACAATATAGCTGTCATTAGCACAGTCAAACAAAAGCACATTAAAACAAACACTGGTACAATTGGTTATAATGATAATTGTTTTTATTAAACCAGTGGTGTTCTCGTGATAAATGTGAGTCAATACACCTTCAATAAACTGGTCATAGGCGGAACTATATTCGCACATAAGCGCATTCACAAATTCACATGGACTTCACCGGATCACATTACGCAAAACCAAATCGACCATATCTAGCATTTTCGAAAATCTTCTCGTCTATTTAGTATGTAAGTGTTGCACATAAGTGATCTATGTGTTAGTATTAGACGTTACTGTAAAAGTTTTCATTATGAACATGTATCAGCTATAAAGTTAAAAATGCTGCGGACATCAAAAAGCGAACACCCAGGAGCGCTCCACTAACAGCTGTCAAAATGAGTATAATTAGCGAGATCCAGTAGCTAGAATATCACACATTGGACATTAACAGTACTTGGAGCAGCGCTCAAGCAGCAAGGAGAGCGCGAAGAAATCAATCAACGTATACTCTATCGTGACTGGCTGCAAGCCCCTGTTTTGAAGTTGACTTCGATATCCCGTAGACGGTACAAAGGGAATCTACACATGCAATTCCAGAACTCAGGGGTTTACAGTGTAAAGAACGGCTTGAAAAGCTAGACCTCTTTACTATATCCTACCGCAGATTGAGTGGTGATCTGGTTTTAATTCACAGAATACTAAGAAATGATTTTGAACTTCTCTCTTCGTTCCCACTAGATAGGGCTATCTCTGAGGATATAGCAGGCGGGTAAAAAAACTCAAGAACAAACAAAATATCCGTGGCATACAGATTTCCACACCGAGTAACCAAGTCTTGGAACTTGTTACCCGAAGCAGTGGCGTCCGAACATTAAATTGCCGCATTAAAGAGAAGAATAGACACTTATAGAAGCATACTGGAAGGGGAATAATATAGGCTGTAGGCCTTCTTTCCTTATAAGAAAATAACCAGTAACAATAAACCTTAAATCGTGAGAGCACGTAACTCACCTGCATCACGTAAGTTTTTTGTGATGGCTCCAAAGCATGTCGGAATACTTCAGCTAAGCAACAAACGAAGTCACTCTGTATGCGTATCAACCGAATGCCTGGTTCCGTATCTCGTACATTGTTTCTATGACAATACTTTTGTTTCTTTACTAAGCGGCGCCTTAATTTGTCGAAGTCTATGAAAACTTCTGTTCAGGATGCGGTTCATTCAAACATTGTACGTTACGTAGAATTGTCGACAAATTTCCCCCAAATACACGACGTAAGGGGGAAAAAGCGACATTTCCCCTTTAATTACCCTTTCGTCTGCTTTATTTCTTCTTTTTCCCCCTTTATTTCCCCTTTTTGTGTTGTTTGGGTTACTGCACAAATCTGAATGTGGTATCGTACTGAACACATTAGATATGGCTGAATGAATTTCACAGTGGTTTTCAGACACCAAAAGACTCTGTGAATAAGTGAATACCTTAAAATTGTGCGTACCATGACTCATGCAATCGATCACATGCTGCTAAAATACAGAATGCCCGCCGTTAATTTGATCGTTCAAGGTCGCAGGATGAGCTATGTCTAGCTTGGAAATGGCACACTTTACCACTCTGTGCTTTATTTCATTTGCTCATCCATGTGCCATAGTCTTTGCTTAGAATTCTTTTTCAAGGTATAATACTTCATGTCATTCATATAACCAAAATGTAATTTTCGACTTGGATAATATTTGCTCTCAATCTAGATCTACATATACGTGAAATGTATCAAAGTGATCACTGAATAAACCTAATGAGATGGAGTATTTATTCCCTTTATCGACGCAGTGTTCATATTCGGACGCACCTAGCTCCATAATTTTTCATGAGACCCAAAAGTATCCTGAAAGGTAATGTAAATTCTTATAAATACAATATGCTTGCCAAACGTTTTCTTAACAACAGTAAGGGTTAATTCGGACAGCATTTTTGTGAGTGAATCACAAAACATGCAGTTTGTTATAAATGAAAGTGTGTGAATATTTCTACTCAAACGAAATCCTTTACAATTTATCATTAATCTTCACTTCGGTGGTAACGGTTTGTTCGGTATATATACAGAATTTAGGCGAAAAGTAGACAATTCGGCGGATATTTAGGCTAGAAGTAGACAATTTATCGACAAAGCGACAAAAATGGGGGAAATCCACTTTATTTCCTGCGGACAGACGAAGAAGGTGACATGTCGGCGCGTTCTCCCCTTTATTTCCCCTTTCTTTTCCAATGCATTTTCCTCTTTATTTCTTCTTTGTTCGCCTTTATTTCCCCCTTATTGATTGCTTGAGTAACATTATCTCGTGTAAATAGTTTGGCCAACTAATGTTATCTTTAATTTTTCCCAAGTTACATCTCTTGTAATAGCATAAAAAAAAACAAATTGTAGGTCTCACTTTCAGAATTACCTGCCATAAACTGTAGCTAGCATGATATCTGATTTTTTACCATG